TTTCTTGTTCCTGAAGACTCCCAAGATTTCTTCGACGATATTCTTGCTGAATTGTTAACTAAAGATTCAATAGAACCTAAAATTTCTGATAATATACCCAGTTTTGTTGATGATTTGATTATCGCTCTTCCCAATGCCTCGACATAATAATTCTCTGTCTTTACAAGGCTCTTTTCTAGATAATCCTTCTAAATTCTTAAATATTTTAAAAGTTAAAGATTATCACAAGCGATATTCTTTTTCATTTAATCCTTCTTCAAGAATTGTTTCTGTTACTAATATTAGTACTGGTAATACTTTCGCTTGTTTTGATTACGATACTCTTAATTCTTTTCTTAATGCTAATCTTCATTCTTAGTGTATTTCTTCTTATTGCACATATTTTATTATTTACCCTTCTTTTTATTATTTCACTTCTTTATCATTATTATTTATTGTAGTGCTAGTTATGGGTAATCCAATGTTTTCTTCACATTCTTCTTCTTTTTCTTGTGATCATCCTAAGCAATTTTTATATTTTCTTGATCGTTCTGAATATCAATATAATTGCTTCAATGGTTACTTTTTTATTTATGATAAGTCAGAGAATCTCAGAAAAGTGAGAAAGATTGATTACTATCTTCTTAGACTTTTCTTATTAGATCACTTCTCATGGTTATTTTTTCGTCTTAATGAATATATTATTGATCCTTAATAAAATTTATTGTTAAATACAAAAATACTACTGCTATAAAAGATAATATAAAACATTTTCTTGAAAAACTAAATATTTCAGTATCCTCAATATGTTCTATAAGATCTATGCACAAGTTTTCAACATCAGTTAATATAATTTCAAATCTTGTTCTTCGTGCGTCTCTTCTTGCTCCTCTCATAAAGCTTTGCTCAACAGGTGCCACGATTATTCCTATTGTTTTCTCTTGTAGTTCTGTTAAAGTCCCCTTCAGTTCTCGAACTACATTCACTCCTAAAATTTTAATAATGATCAGTATGCATCATCATTATCAAGGTTGTTTAGAGAATGTTCACAATAGGTCGTCCATCATACATCAAGTCTTTACTTGATTGATAACTTTCACAAATTGTGGCCACGATGTGCTTTCTTTAAAGCCTTACAACTTAAACGTCCTTCGGTGCCCTCTTATCTTTTTCAGATGTGGCGACATAGAAATTGTAATGCTTTTATCTATCCTTCCATATGACCCTATTTACCAAGTGAACCAGTTAAAATCTCCCTTTAGATTAATACATGGTTCTCACGCATTAAGGGCTCGTGTGGCAGTGTACCTTCAGGTCATATAATAACTCAACAAACTCAATAAGTGGCCAGCTTACCAATTTTCACGGTATCCCAATTTTTTACTTGTATTATAAAGGGTCTTCCTGCTATTCTTCCTTCGACGTCTACCCCATTATCTCCTTTCCTTCCAACCCTTCTTGATTCAATATTTGCTTGTTGGAGTTTTCTGTGTACTTGTTTTTCAAGGATATTTCCTTTAGCAACGGATGAAAGCATTTTTTATTATAATTTTAATTATACCTTCCTTTACATTTTCCAGATGGGTCATTTTTATTTTAGTATTAAAGTTTTATTTCTTTGTCG